AGCAGGATCTCTCTTCCTCCCCATCACACCACAGAAAGCAGCACTCACACTGCACCCTCTCTAAGAGAGGAGTGACACCCAGTGAGCAGGGCAATACCAGCCTGCTCTTATGCAAACTACAGTTGGAATCTCAGCATTTTGCAACAACATTCAGGACAAGCCTTTGTGGATGATGGAAAAAAGAAAAGAAACAAACGACTAAATTCTTCTAAACAAAAGCAGGAATTTTGCCAGCTGAGAAGTGGAATAACACACCACAGACTGGGCACAGAGTGTTTAACAGAAAAAAAAAACAATCCCAAAGTTTCCATGCCTATTTGTAAGCTACCTTTAAGCCAAACTATTGTCTCTTGCATCTGCTGTCTGCGGTTTAATTTGTCTACAGGCTTTATGAGGTTCTGTGGCTTCCAACTGCTTAAGGCTATCTCCCTGGTTGGAATAACTGGTGTAGAGATGCTGCAGTTGACATAGTTGGGCTGATTTTCTCCAGTTAAGAAGCCTGGGCAATAAACCCAACATGATTGAGAAACATATACAGTGAGATGATGGAGGTAAAAAGCCACCCAAATCCAAGACTGCTATTTAGAGAGAACTCGCAGTAGGATACAGCAGCAAAAGGCACAGTGAGGAATTGCTTAGTTACCACACGGATACTCACTCAGCAATGAATTCTAAGGGTGTCCAGGAGCTGAAATCTGCGTCAGGCATTGATTTCCTGTTTGCTGGTGTATCTAAGGTAACCCTGTGATTAAAAAAGATAAGCCTTTTATTTATACATCACGTTTCTGATGACTGCCACCTGCTTCTATTCAGCACTGTAATATATGTTTGCCTTTTAGACCACGTAGTATGGATTTCCCCTGCACCCTCCACATGCTACGTTTCAATGTATACCAAAGGCTCCAACCTACAAGCCCTCACCTTCCTGGCTTGCTGATGACGCCCAGCCCATTAGGGCAATCACTCAGTCCACAGATCCCTTCTAGTTTCTCTCCTGCAGACAGGAAATGACAGCAACGTGCTTGTCCAGGTGTACTGTACAGCACATGCACTGCACAGCCATGCTTTCACAGAGCCTCATGCCAGCTGCAAATGCAGAGGTTAAATGCACAAGCACAGGAAGCTTTGACTTTGATGATATATATTGTTTGTATGTGAGTATATATATACACATACACACACACACACACAATGATACAGGAGAGAACTTTCACAACTCCTTCCCCAAAATACTGTTGACAATCCAAGGTATCATTACACTCTCCAAACTTCACTCAAAACCAGTTTTGCACAAGAAGTATGCAAATGCAGAACACCCAAGAGTCCAGTGATCCTGGTGTCTGCCTGTCTATACAGCTCTGTAGAAGGTGATGTCAATTATCCAAACACTTTTAATGCCATTGCTCTCTGAACCGAACAGTGTGTGTATCAGGAAAACAAAGCAGGGAGAATTCAGATAGTGTTCAAAATCCCTATATAGAACTCCTTAGGAGTTTTTGGTCCTGAACTAGAGATGGACTTGGCAAGAAAAACACTTTTCATTTTGGCGACAGAATTGCTGAATTTAGACAGAGTGAAGACCTACTAGGCTAGTCACTTTTCTAGCTTTCCTCATCAAAAAGAAAGCTGTGACAGGAAAATAGAAGCTAAACTTTTTCTTTTCACATATCCCCAAAATGATCTAATTTTACTGAGCATAGATATGCAGCACCTTATGAAGCATCTTTAACCAAGCCAAAGCTTGTCAAGTAATTCTTTGCTTTACCATTTACCCTTTAATATTATCAATCTACAACTGTGCTGAATAGCTCATCTGGTTTTCAGAGTTCTGTCTATACTGGGAAAGAAAAATTAAGAAACCCCATGTTAATGCATGGCTACAGTTGAACTGGTTAAAAGCAAATCAAATTTCAATCCTAACATTCACTACCGTTCTGCAAAGGAAAGGAGAAAAACTTAACCATCTTCAGGGTGACTTGCATGAAGTAGGTGCGAGAAGCTGTTTGTGCCCTGTGAACAGGACATCACAAGCACATCCATGTGACTCCAGGTTACAGCAGTAATTAAATAAAACAACACAGAAGCAACTGAACAACCACTTACGGTAAAATGGCAACAGCAGCAGATACACTATTGGGACCTGCTAAACTCTGACACAGCTGATGCACTGCTCCTTTGGCCATGCCATAGCCAATCATCCCTGACAATTAAAAACAGGCAAATTAAAGCACAATCAATACAGCTTTCAATGCTATCAGTAGTTTGATAAAAACTCAGATTGTTTGATGAATACAAAGTTTAAGACCACTTACCACAGCCAGAACACAATCAGATTTTTAAAACATATCAAAACACACATATTAAAAGAAAAAAAAAAAAAATATA